TTGTGATACATAATACAAGTCTATTAGAACCGTCGTTTAACAATATTTTCTGCTATGTTTTACAGCAGTCTTTTTATTCTATTCACAGATATATGTTTATCATCCATCAAAATAGTACTGCTGTCAATATAGATAATAATATTCATTATGGTACTTCGTATCTCAAGTGGTGTACGTCTCGAACATAGCAAAAGCTTGAATATCAGATAGAGATAAATAGAAAAGAAATAGAAAAGAAAGATATTAGTGACAGGTATGAGAGGAAAAACTAAGGGAGATAATGAACGAGAGTGTTTTCATCATTGATATATCAATAGTACCCATAATATAAGTGTCCATGACGACTATGTTCTTTATTTGGCTTTTACAAAAAAATATGTGAGACTTTCTTTTTGTTAGATTATATATATTCATTTTTGAACTTATTTTCTATACCAATACAAGCTAACGGTTACTACAGTTAGATCTTTACAAGAAGCCTGATGAGTTTGACTAGATTTGAAACAAATAAAAAGTGATATTTTCTGAAAAATTTGAGTCCTGACTTCAGGAAAATATTCTCAAGAATAATCAAATTTATAGAATTATGACAACATACAGAACTGATATGATATCGCTTGGCGTACTGTTGTGTGATGATAAATGAAGAAACATTGAAAATCAAAGTCATAGTTCGCATATCTACATCAGAGATAATTGATTAAAATCAATAAAGAATGCTTTTATTTATTTCTGATCATTCATCGAGTTTTGTATAAGTTTCTTTTTCCATAAATTTTCTTTCAGATCACAGTTAGAATAGTAAAATTTTTTGATTGAATATAACCGACAGAAAACCACACACTAAGAGGTTTTTGAATAAGCAGATGAACAAACAGCTTTCAATTCGTCATAAATGATCGTATATCACTGAGAAAATCACTTTTAACAAGTAAATGTTTGTTAAAAAATAATGCGTGTCGGATCGTACCCATAGTTTTTTGAAGAGTATGTTTTGAAAAATATTTTGAGTTTTGTATCATTTGACGCAGTCTAATATGCTCATTCTGTATATCATATTAATTTTTCTTCATAGTATAATATGGATGCATAAAATTTGATTTTCGACCAAAAATCAGAGTTTTAGGGGAGTCTCTGATATAGCCACGAAGACATTTCACATGTTGATTCGATGACTATTATTAGGATACATATGGAGAAATATGGGATAAAAATTTGAGCTCAATCATATGTTGTCATTCTATACGCTTTATAGTATACGGAATAGTTGGAGTTCAGATAGGTTTTTCTAACAGAGACACTTCGCTGTATAGCTCATTTTAAATTAAATTAGACTCAAGTTTTTTTCATTAAGTCCACAGCTGATCAAGTTTTTTGTGATGCTGCTTGATGGTACAATATTTTTTTGTATTGCTAAATAACTTGACTTTATTTATTTATATGAGTTTATAAGCTAAAGGATGTGAGTGACCTACATTCACACCCACAAAGTAATGAAGAAAGATAATATACAACAAAAGTGATTACAATGATAATTACTAATGTATTATTAAATTCATTAAGAAAAGATGAAATTACAAAAAAAACGTATACATAGATAAGATACCGTTTTACGATGTGATATTCTGTATATAACTGTTTTGCTTATTTATCGTGTCTGGTCTATGACTAAACTTCTTTAAAGGAGAAACAGGTATTTGCAAATGGATTCCGTTATATTGTTTGTAGATGTACAGTAGTAATTTATGTTCCTCTTGAGTTTTTAAAGAATTCAATTAGATCTGAAAATACTTAGGGCATACCAAAAGTAGTGGCAGTGACATTTTAATGCTGTATAGTAGACTTAAAGAAACTTTCTTTCTATATAGTCTGATAGAGAAAGAAAAGCTCTATCTTTCTATGCTATTTGATCATACTTCAACTAATATTATGATAATAAAATTTCGATAAGATGTTTTTCGTTATCATATATGCTTGTTGTATTAATACTCATTTTAAACAATTCAGGTGAGTATTTTTTGAATAACGTTTAATAAAAACAAGACAGAAAAGTGTGGTTTTCACCGTTGGAAAAAGGAGATGAAGATGCATCGAATCGTTTATTTTAGGTTTTCCTAATTTGTTTTTTTTTGAAAGGCTTTCCATTGATCTTTCTGAGAACAAACTTATCTGGTTATGTTGTTTACAATGAATTTTCAATTATCAAGTATAAATTGGAACCACTTATGGAAGGTCTACAATGTTTGGAAGACTAAGATGAATATTATGCATTCTAGACTAGTCTCTAATATGACTTACTAGCAAAATCTGTGAAAAAGCTCACTTTTGTGTTTTTTTTTTCATAAAAAGACATTTTTTCGACTGTCAGAAAATTCAATAAAAATACTTCAGAAATCAATATTAGATAACCCTACAATATACAATTCGATGCATCTTCATCTCCTTTTTTCAACGGTGAAAACCGCACTTCTTTGTCGTATTTCTATCAACAGTTATTCAAGAAATATTCACTAACATTTATAGAACCGAGACAAATGCGAACAAAACAGATCTTACCGAAATTTTAATATTATAATATTAGTCGCAGTATGATCAAAGAGAATAGAAAGATTGAATTTTTCTTTCTCTATCAAACTATATAGAAAGAAAGTTTCTTTAAGTCTACTATACGGCATTAAAGTGTCACTGCCACTACTTGTGGTACGCTCTAAGAACATGATTTTTTGTTTCATCAAGTTGTTCGAAAAATCCTGTTAAAAATATCACAAAGGAGATATTCATACGAAATATGGTAAGACGAATGTTAAAAATATTACATGATAACTCTTTATATCGTTCTCGGGAATGTAATAGTAGACTTTTGTTAAGTACACAACAATATCCCTATTTTTACTAAACGATTCCGTATATAAATATTCAAACCTAGTTACACTTTTTATTGTGGTTATTAAATATCTACAAATAGATAGATATTCAAGGTTTCAGTTCTGACAGAATACTCCCGGATGTTCGGGAACTACAGCATAATGAAATAGCATGACTTCAGTCTTGTTCACATTCACAGATGACAGCATAATTATCGAACATTTTTCAAATATTAGCCTAGCTATTGTGGCGTGTTCTTCTAACTATGTTATGTTTTTCGGTAGTCTCTTCTCAAGATTGCAAGATCATCAACAGATATATGGCACAAACAGAGTTGTAGACAGTGGCAAACTTTGTGGTGCTCCCACATTTATACTTTTTCTTTCTGGATAAGAATTGTCCACGTTATGTATACGTTGAGTATTTCTGTCACTACCTATGAATGAAACAAATGAGGTTAATTTGCGCATCTGCTTCCATTATATTTGATATAAGAACTGGATAACACATTTCGCTAAATGCAATTATGAATTCTACGAATATTCCAAGTGTAAATCGATTGAGTGTTGCTGTTGTTAAACGTAGGTCTTCGCATATATAGTTAGAATACTGATTTGTAAGTGCCTATTTCAGATGGAACAGAAATGTTCATCTATATAAACACCTTCGGATTCGTAACGTGTAAGAATTTCTATATGCATATAAAAGTTTATTTAAATTTGGTAACAATGTTAATCTCCTATTTAAGTACATTTACTAAACATCATGGAATAATTTTTTTTCCTTTCACATATTCAGTTAGATCACAAATTATTAGACACTTAGATACTAATCATATGCTGCATCTGTAATTTATATCATCTATTATCAGTGGTATATATATTAGGTCTAACTGAATATCGTAGAAAAAAAAACATTGAAAAGAAAGATATTTGTCTAGTTACTTTTGGAGCACTCTTTGTTATTTATTCACTTTTTGGGACCAAATTCTTTTTCTATCATTAAAGGAACAAGCAAATATTTTATTTTCTCAAATAAGATAGAAAAAAGAACTTTTCAAATAGAAAAAATATTTTAGAGAAAATTACAAAAGAAGTGTTGATGGTCGAAATCGTTGACCAAATTCAAACATTAATCTTGGTATCCAATGGATACCATCTTTAGATGATGTTCCAAATGGATCATTGATCATTAAGAATCGACTAATATAATAAAGCCATTTCAATGATGACATATAAAAATGTGCAGCATCATGACTCTTTACATTAGCGTAACAACTTGATAGAATACCATTGACAAATAATACACCTAAAGTCAATAATAGATTTAATCTATATCTGATAACAATTTACCTTGACTAGTAAATGGGGCATAGTATCCTGTTTTAATATCAATTATAATTTCAACAATAGGTGATGATACAAGTTGATTGTTCGAAAGAATAAAAAGTCGATCATGAATTTGTAAATCTTTAGCTGGTTTGTAGGTAGGTTTTCCATTGGATGAAACAATAGCGATCAAATGATATGATGTTAAACTTAACTGATGATCTGATTCAGTTTTGAGAGTATGGAATATAGCTAAAGAATATTTCATATGAGAAAATATTTAGTTCGTTCTTTTTTATCTAGTTACTCTTAGTAGATGCTTGACGATCTAACATCATGATCATTTCTGCACTGACAAGTTTAAAACCATCATAAGCATAAACAAGATCACCAGATTGTAGTTCACCAATTTTTTTCGAAGTTCCATCAATTAATTGAACGTGACTATCACCAGAAAAACAGACTGCTGAAAAAAGAAAATTATATTAGCAATAAATCAAATAGATCAATCTTTCTATGTTTTTCTCTCGGAAAATATAAACTAAAGCACCAAGAAAATTTTGCAATCACTTGAATTTATATCCATGTAGAAGTATCCCAAGATTGATCACTAAGAAAGTCGATTAAATGGGTATTTTAAATAAAAATGATCGGATTTTAGAGAATAGGTCGAACTTTTGTTTTTAGAATTGATGAACAAAAAAACGAATAAAACGCTAGAACATCGCTGAAAAAGAACTAATATTTCTCAAGATTAGGGACTCCTGCATGGGTATCCCTATATCGTTGAGAATACTAACAATTCTGGACCACGACAACATTGTTTGAACGATCAGATTCATATTTTGAAGTTTTATTTGTTGTATTTGCTGTGCTATTGTTAAAATCTGTTTCATAACCATTGACAAAATTCGTTGCAAAAACAGTGAAAATAACCAAATATTGAATAAGCATGTATTATTCTATATAAATCTTTGTTTTATAATCAATACGGACGAAATCAGTGTTATTTCCTTGCTTTTTATACTAATGTAAAAAGGTAGTAACGCAAAAAAGTATGTAAATATCGCCATGGATACTTCCATCATACATTTTTATTTGTTTTTTTTTCAGAACAATAGAAACTTCCAGAATATTTCGATTTAATTAGTCTGGTTTTTTCCAACTATAAAATGCTTCATTCTTGACTTCGTAACGTTCTCTTTTTTCTTCCTTTTGTATTTTGTTATTCTTCAAATGTGTCACAATTGAGAAATAATAGAAAAATGAATATTCAATTATGTGTACTCTTCCTATTGATTGTAGTTGTATCCGTTCGTTGTCAGACATGTTCGTGTATTTGTGGTACTAGTTCATTTTCTTCTGAAAGAAGTTGTTCAACATCATCAAGTTGTGCGTCGACATGCTATAGAAGCTATTATTCGTGTACATATTATAATACACGGGGATGTTGTGGTTCCCAATCGTGCGCTTATCTTTCTTCAACATATAGTAATCTTTTTGGCTATTATGATTACGACACTTGCAATTGTAAATGTGGTTCATTGTCGAGCAATTCTCTAACCATGATTGGAATAGTCAAAATGAGCAGTTGCAAAGAGGATTATTGTCAATTAGCATGTAATAGTTTGCATCCAACGACTTGTGGTATTTATACAAATCAAGCCTATTGCACAGGTGGTAAAAATGGCGCAAGCTATCATGGATTTACTTCAGACTTGTTTTTATTCATCACATTAATTGGTTTTTTTTAGCACAAAGCAAAATCGTTTGAAATATTTTTTTGGTTTTTGAAAATAAATATTAACAAGTATTTTAATGAGTTCAGACGGAACCAATTTTGATGATTATTGCATGTTCATCTTTTATCTGCTTACATTTTTATACCACCGACCTAATATCAGTGTAGAAAATTTAAATCGAATATATTAATTTTCTTTTTTTTTTTTTTATTAAATGAAAACAAAAAACCCAGTATGATAACAATAGTAGTACAGTAGGAAACTTCTATAGTTAATAAAAATTTCAAACAAAAAAAAATACTTCTATAACGGGAAAAATAAAAATAAAAATATTAGATCGATAATGAATACCAACATTAGAACAATAAGCTTCATTTATGTAAGTTCCACATGAACTTGGATATAAGTATCGGCAAGCTGATTGGCAAGTAGATTTTGCACATAAACTAGCTTCAGCACTACCCCTATCATAAGAGGAGCTACTCCATGGACCTGAACATTTGCAAATACATGTTCCGGGTTCATTGTAAACTTCTTCTCCAGTGTACCACGAACATGGTAAACTGCCACAACATCCTCTACTATATCCTTTGATACAGGCAGAATAACCCCAATAACATATTTGTGCACATTGTTCTGATGTTGAACAACTAGCTGATGGTGAGTAATTACTAGGACCACATTGACAATTGCAACTTAGACAATACACAGAGGTATAAACTACTGACAATAATAATAATACATACAAATAAATCTTAGTCATTATAATTATGAAACAAATTGTTCTTTTTTTTCGTCTTTATCTAAATACAATATTTCTAAGAATGAATTATTAGATGTTGGACAAAAAAAAACATCGTTGTTTACTTTCTACACTTTTCTTTTCTTCTCAAGTGGCATCGAAAATGTGAAAAAAGGAATAGTTACCTTTTTGTTGGAAGAAAAAACTACAAAAAGTGATCGATATTTTCCAACTTAGCCTGAAGCAAGAAAAATAAACAATCTGAAAACTATTCACGAAAGATAAAGAGAGTATGAGTGTGCATGTTGACTTTGCCCACACCCACATCTTAAGATGTATTCACAGTTAAAATTTAAGGAGATATAGATGTCACAAAAAACGGAAAAATGCACTTTTTTGCTGATAGTACTCTGCGAAAAATTTAAATATCTCAAGAATGGGAACAATAGTTTTTCAAGCGACTTTCGTAGAAATTCATTAAACAGTTGCTCTTATAAGGGTGTAGGTGTGAGTCTTCTTCTCAACCACACACTCATATCCTTCCACACCCACATCCAGACACCCCACCCCCAAGGGAGAAACAGCAGATTCCTGAATTCCTGAATTCCATGGGATACCGAAGGATTCCAAGATATTCTCAAGATCTCCAAAAGGGCAAAATTATTTGGGAGTCCGTCAGTATCTTTTATCATATAAATGTTTCCTGTTCAATGCTCTATGACAGACAGTGAACGACCATCATACTACTATAAAATGTGATGTAAACATTCACACAAGCAGTGTATATAGTATTTAGTAATTTCGATCCAAAAAAGAGGGTGTGGGTGAGATGTGGGTGTGGGGTGTGAGGTGTGGGTGTTAGTGATGAAGCGACGACCCACACCTACACCCTCAAATAAGTACTCATATTAGTTGTTTGATTAAGACTTACTTGCTGACGAAGGCATGAGAACTCAGTGTAGTACTCATCCTAGTCTTTTTCTGAATATTTAACGAAACACTTATGTACTAGCATGTACAAAAATAGAATAAAATTACATAACAAAGAAAAATAGAAGAGAGTTATTTTAACGAATTATCTATGTTATCCTCCATTCTTATTTGATGAGTTATTCGTATTGCTTTAATGAATGGTTGTATCAGAAACAGAAAAACGATTTTTCATCTCCAACTAGGTATAGATGTGGGTGTGGGTATAAGGATGTAGAAAAGCAATTAGCCACACCCACACTCACCCACACCCATCAAAATTAAATCGACTACAGAGAACGAAGGAAAAGAATGTTTGAAATTTAGTTTAGACCGCATTTCAAACGCAATTTATTTCCGAACCGCGCCTGGACGCGCTAGAAAATTATGACCGTATTCAGCCGCGTTTCGTCTCAAAAACTATTTTCATGGATGCCTCGAGAGAGAACAAGACAATATTTATTCAATTGATAAGTTCTTTAAGATGTCGAACAAACCAAGAATTTTCAATTTTTTGTATGAAGTTTTTTTGTTAAGTAGTAACAGATGTCTATTGACATGACTATCAGTACCAAAATTGTCAAGAGAAAACCCAAAATTCTGCCATATGTTATTTTGAACATATAGCACAGATTGTGTAAATATCGAGCGATTACCATCAATATACCATAAATGAGAGTACGTGGAAGGATATGATTGTATTGTATATATGGAGGTGTCGATGTTTTTTCCCCTGTCCAAAATAAGATCATATAGAGAACCAAGAAATACGGTACATATTCAGCATCGTTTCGAAGGCATCGATTAACACGACCACTGAGAGACCAATCATCATTCTCGTTTACATACTGTTGCCCATGGAACTGCTCGACGTCTTCAGGTGCTCGAAATACACCAGCTCGCCGACGAAGAACTGCTAGTAGGATCAAGAGAACAATATTTTTCATAATTAATAGAAACACAATCCAGCCCAAAACAACTTCAGCTTTTATAGGTTCTACACCAGCCATCTTCAAACTAAAATGAAACACTTAAGAAGAATGAATCTAAATAAAAATGAATGTTTTTTGAGTGTAAATAACTATAAAAACATTTGTCTTATCTTATCCAGACAGATAAAAACATACATCACAACAAATAAAAACGAACTCGCGTGTGCCTCAGACTAAATAAGGTAGTTTATTTGTTTAGTAAACTAATATCGTTCTTTCTACTATCGTTTTCACTAACAGCTTTGGTGCTGTGTTTTGTCACCATTTCTGAAGACAAAATCTGACTACTCGTAAAAAATTTATGAACTCTAAACATGTTTCCGGACATGTCAGCCAGCGAGGTATAGATGTTTGGGTGTTCTCGGGTGTGGGTGTGGGTCATCGCTTCATCACTAACACCCACACCCAAAAATTCAATATTGATTCAAGAGTCAACTTTAGTAGTGATATAAAGCAATATGGAATGAACTGTCATGATTGTCTTACATCTAACTTTTGCTAAGATATAAATGCAAAAGAGTTATCGTGAAAGGAAATTTTTCTATAAAGAGTTAAGTAGTCATCCCCATAGAAAATATGCTTGATACATTTCTAGTAAGATGATTAGTGGATGAAGTTTTTAATAAATTATAAAAATGACAAACAAGAATACGTAGTTAAAAATGTAACTTTCTTCAATGAGATTAAAACATTTTCGTAGACAAACAAGTATGGGAATTATTTATTCAGTTGAAATTCATTAAACAATCGTTACTTTCGTTTCTAACAATTTTTATTCGAAACAATTCGTTCGATTGCTCGTTTAAGCTGTCTAGAAACTTGAAAATGAAAAGAACGAATTTGGTTCATTAAAAAAGCTGAAATTCCATCTAATTACGAAACTCAGTTATATCAGTGAATAGTTATTAATGGTTATCTTTTAAAAGCAGAGTCACTTAAAATAGCACATTTACTCAATGGTGCATATATGAAATTAGTAAGTGTGAACTGACAAATCAATAATGACTTAGAAACACACAATTACGCAGACAAATCAGGGTGTGGATGTGAAAGATTTACTCATCGAATCGACACCCACACGCACACCAACTGAATTTACCTAGAACTATCCAATGTTCTGAGCACTGCATTAAATTGCATGCTGTGAGTATGTTAAAGAGCAAAATTTTCACACCTCTTTACGACATATTAGATGACATGAGACATGACCAATTTCAATGAAAATGTACAATAAAAAAAAATATTAATTCAGTGAAAAACGTTTTTTTTTTAATTGCTTTGTATTTTATAATATTCAATGTAACAGAAGGGATATAAAACTGAGCCTTTCACGAGCTACTCACAAAGCAATTTACAGACAGTTGTTCTACAGATTTTCTAAAACAAAGTCATTCAAAATTTTATCCCACTATGTAAATTTCTCGAGAATCATATGAGATGGGCAGCTAAGTTAAATTTTTGACTAGCTGTTCAATTTTAAGAATTATATCTATGGTTGAAATTTGAACGAGAACGAATAAGTTATTTAAGATATTTTTTCATAGTATGCGACTCATAACTCAGCGATAGTAAAAGCTAAAGAGCTTCTAGTTTCAAACTGAAGAATCAACTTAGGTGAAACTAAAGAAACTTTCAATCTCAGAGCTAACTCTGATCCGTTTTTGAATGAGAGCATCTTTGAATATTTTATAAAAAGCTTTTAATTAAAAACAGAATGTAAATGTGTAGCATTTAAATATTAAAGTAGTGGGTTTAGACGAGACACGGTGCATTTCTTGATAAAGATATTGTTCATCACAATTTTGCCTGAATGGTGAAGTTCCTTTTTGTACTACTGAATCATCTATATCCTAAGAGAAGCTGGTAGCTTCAAAAATTCCCTCGTTGTCATAATCACTTCATTCCCATATCGCATCCAGAGTTAATGATATAATTGCATACATAAAAATGAAAACTTTGTATAACCATGAGATTTTCAAGAATAGTTTGACACTTTGTATTCAGTGAAAACTTTTAACGATTAAAAGTGTTTACAATTTCGAAATTCTATGGGCCATATCGAAAATGACAATCTCATTAGTCTGCAACAAAATCAATATTTTCATTGATTATAATTTTTACACAGTTGTAATTGTTTCGTAAATGGTACGTTGAAATAAAACTAACTTAAGTGTTGTTTCATGCAAAAAGTACGGAAAAAATCAATTAAAGTCAGATTTTTTTTGTTTTTCCCTATTAATCTGATGCAAAAAAGGTTAACGCTTTTCTCCACATTAGAAACGTGAAAAACTAATTTTGAATTATTGTTTGATTGCTAGTATTTAGAAACCATGGAGTCGTCACCAAACAATATTCTGGCAAATGGAGCGTATTTGAAATGATTATATAATTTGTTTCAAATCTAGGTGATGTAATTACATTAATAATCGATGTTAATCCATGGTATGCATAACTTTTTCTTTTTCGATATAATCGTTCTGTGTAATTAACGTGGTTTTGTAATTGGTATCCTCATATGTATGACTTATCTTATGCGCATCCCATAATTACAAAAATAATCAATAGCAGCTCATTCCTATTTTTGCAAGTCGATTAAGTATTTAAATCAAATCACAACTGAGATAATCAAGAATGATCGAAGTAATAAATTATTTTTTCAATCGATTTTAATCGGACTATCGTGCTAACTGTGAGGAGGGTTTCTGAAAAGTTCTCTAGCTCTATATTAGTTGATAAACCATCTATGGTCAAAACTCAGGTGATGATTATCAATTGTTATTAACATCGTCGATTCAGATGTGCAAATCATAAATAATTCTTGAGTAAATTTTGATAGACGCCTTATTTCACAAAGTTAGTGATGGACTGTTATCTCTTCGATATTCCTTGATATGGTGAATATTTTGATTGTAATTATTTATTAAATATGAGATTAATAAAACAATATTATATGTTTTCAGAAACAAAAAATAGTTAGTGCTTGAATAGAGAATATACTGAGAGAATAAAAAATAGAAAGATTTTGAACGAAATTGGGTTTTAAAAAATAATTATTCAAGTTCATGTGTAGCTATCAATTGCAGCCAACAATTAACACAGAATTCTATTGTTATCAAGAGCCCAAAGTGGTCCAGAAATGCAGTCTTTGTCATAACCATAAGCATAGTTAGATCCGTTGAAATATTGACAATGAGGAACAAGACCGCCTTGTTGTGGTGAACCACCACCAATTACGCCAATATTGACTGATGTGGCCAAATCAAAGCCAATTGTCACACCCGGAGGTAAATTGAAGTTTGAGTATAACGTGCAAGTGCGATAGCCTGAGTTATCCGTGAACTTCCATACCCAATTAGCGCATGTGTTTAAGTTTTGGAGGCACTTCTTAAAACAGTCACATGCACTTCTAATACGATTTGATCTAAACGTGAACTGAACATCATTTGTCACTCCGGTAATATCGAAGCCTCGGACATAACGAACACATTTACCACAGATCGGTTCCAATTCTTCGCTAGAAGAGGAACTAATTTGGTTTACACATAGTGCAGAGAGAAGCAATATGATGAAATATTGAGCCATAGTGAATACTGAAATTTAAAATCTGAAATGATATCATTTCAAAAAAGACAAATAGTTTAGTTGACTTAAGAAAAAACAACTACATGGGGAAAAGGAACGAATAAAAATTGAACGAACAGAGTAATGAAAGAAACGAATATTGCTATGAACAAGCACTTGATCATGACCCAGACAAATAAAACTACGAAATCATCATCATCATCTACTTATTATATTGATATTTTCTTTCTTATATTTGTCTCTTTTTATATACGTTTATTTCATCTACGATGATGAGTTAAAAAAGGAATAGGCGTGTCGTATACAGGCTTGTTACGCACAACACAACGTATATCGTGCATGATATATGGATTGTGAATCATTTATAGTCATGAAGAGAGAGAGAAAGACAAATACGTGTTTAATTATTATGCAGTTACGATTAAATCACGACTTACACATAATAACGTAAATAGATAAAATTATCTTGTTGAATACTACGAATTTATCATTGGCATGGAATTAAATTAACAGGATGAGGAAGTATTGTACATCAGTTATTTGAATGTAGATTATTTTTGCCTACGAATAGAATCAAAATGATAATTTCAATCGATGGAAAAAAAAAAATTCAATTTTTCTTTCTATACTTAGGATGGTACATTTAAGTTAAATTGAACGATTTCAAGTAACTTGTAATTCCAAAAATAAAACTAATCAAACCACGTACACGTGTCACTATTATTTTATATCAACAATAATTACTTCCTTGGAAAAAGTATTTAAAAAAAATACAAAATATTTAACAACAATATATATGCAAAATTTAGCTTTTATTTACGAGTGAACAGTGTTTCTGGAACAATGATTGTCGATGTATTCTCATTTCTATTTTTGTCGCTCGTCAACTGACACGACATAAACAGTAGCTTCTCTTGTTGGAAAAGTCACTGAGAATATCGAGTTTTTCCCTTTGTTTTTTAATCACATTAACATAACAACTTATGATAAAGCGTGCACTACTTGTTGAACTAAAACATTCGCTCAGCATAATTATGTCGTAAATATTATTTAAAGGTTTGAGTTTGAACGAAACTCGTGTTGTCAATCTTACTTCTGTTTCATTCGTTTGATCAATCTAACATTTGCACTATATCCAATGCATGATAAACTTTAGATATCAATTGCTCATCTACAACATGATGTCACGATAGTTCTAAAAATAATGATAACTCACAGAGAAAATAAGATGTTTCGTCAATCAATTGACATTCATTTCTGTTATTTCACCAGTTGAAACATCACTGTTTCTAATTTGAGTAATCAATATTTTAAGAGAATTCAATACAATTTATACGAATATATCTGCCCATGTCGTTCGCACCGGTCAAAAACCGCCGGCTAATTGCGCTTAATCCTTTCGGTTTACTGCGGTTAATCGAAAATTTTCCGATTAA